GAGTCGGCGCATTAATTTTCGCCTTTCGGCATGGACGATGCCGTCACACTTCGGTTACATACACATAACACAATCCCTTCAAATGCCCTATGGTCCTAATCATTTGCTTGTTTTGTTTGGACAACCCAGCGAGCGTCTGAGTAAGCCAGTGAGAGTGATCGTTCCTCGTCAGAGTCGCAGGTCGGAGGACGTCACCCGTCGGACGGCCGCTCCATTGGTGTGCCGTCTGCTGGAGGGCCACTCGACTCCGTCTGCCGTGTCCCGGAGGTCCACTTCCCTGTGTGGAGAGTGGTCTGACCAGGCCCCGGGGAGATGGTGCCACAACACCGCCCGGGGCGGGCGCGGTGCCCGCAGGGACTCCACTGTCCGACCGCAGCGCCTAACAGGCAGATGTGTCACAGGTAATGGAAATGGAGGGGCCATTTTGGACCGGGCCCCGCCGTGCGAGGTTATAAGCTGGTTAGTGGTTATGTAAGTCATGCTTTCCTTTTACATAGCGTTTAAGCGCTGTTGAACATTGAGTGCAATTGTTTTTTCTTTTCTTTCAACAGAAGTCATGTAAAACAATGCAATATGTCTACTTGAATCTATAAACGTTTTGATTTTATGTGCCACCGTCACACGCCAGTATTGAAGTTCAATGGGTTCTTTACAAATATAGACATGTAAAATAATCATATAACTTATTTGATTTGGTGTATTTTATCATGCACCTGACAATATCATTTATGCATATTACGATCTCTTTCCCGGATGACGGAAGCAATACGAGCAAATTGCAGCTTAATGTCGTGGTAAGCAGGCCTGGATGTCAGACACCATAAAACAACCGGTCCAATAGCCTATTGCCCAACAACTTACTGTCACCGGTTAAACTGCTTGTAAGGCATATACGAGCCCATTGCACACACGAAAGGTCATACCGTTTGTACTGGTACACATAGCCAAACCATTGGGTGACATTGCCTATCGCCAGCCAGGCTCAGTGTAGGCTCGGCTTTCCCATTGCCAATGTCCCTGACTCTGACTCGGACGGCGCGGCGGCAGAGTCGGCACCCTCGGGGCCTTCCCCGCGGCTCCGGCGGGGACCGCGCCACATTTCCATACCTCTCCGGATGTGATCTCTCCACATCTACTGTAATGACGCAGCGCAGACCGGTGGCGGAACTGTGGGTACTGCGAACGGAGCCCGGCTGGCGGCGGAGAGGAGGCCTATCGACCGGAGAGCGACGCAGAAGCCGGGGCCGGGAGAAGAAGTCGGGGTCTTTACCGCGACCGGCGACACATTCACCTGCCTGAGGTGACAGGAAATACTCGGAGGGGGGGGGGGTAATTGCGAGACGAGGAACGTGAATTTGGGGAATGAGACTCAGAAGATGGGGTAACATTAATGTTATTACGTGTACACTGTACTTACACATACCTACACGTAAGTAAGTAACCAAGTGTTTGTAAACAGAGTTCATAAGAACCAAAAGAAAAAACAGCTCGTATATTTTTGTCATTAATAAATCATTGCATTTTTTGTTACCATCAAGCGCCATGGGAAATAAGATAAAAAAAATATTTCGACGTTTTTGCAACATGCAAATGAAAAGAAAAAAGACGGTTGTGCTGTAAAATTGAGACATACGCCACACCTTTCATATGTATGTCATCTGTCCCCGGTGTCGTGTCAGTGACCTCTGGGCGCAGCGCATGTCTCCGCACCATCTGATGTGGGCCCGCAGTGCTGGTGGCTCGCCACCGTCCTATATATAAGCGGACTAATGAAATCTACCCGACGCCGTGAGCGCCTGAGCTGAGTCACGGCACAGGCCCTCCTGCAGCGCCGGTGTGAAATGTGGCGGGGCGGGAAACAGCGCTCACCAGTCTCAGTGCAACAATTGGCCTTGTGCACTTTAAGAGCATTACGAACTTACTTGAAGCTTACTGTTAGGATCAGCAATGAATGTGCTACGTGCTCAAAAACATTCATAAGCTACTCGTATTTTCAGGGTTCTGTACGGAGAACTACGTTTTGTTGTATGTAAAAATAACAACCAAATAGGCAGCATCCCGCTAGGTTCCGACTTCTTCAAAGAAAGGAATCACGATCAATCCCAAAATTAAGCTTCATCATTCCCATGAATTGACTTTGGAATGTTGATGGATTGTTGGCTACCATCCAAAATCTGAGAAACTGTACAGAACAATGACCGGACTGCTGAGCGCTCATCACGTCGTCATTTTCCGAGTGCCTCTCGTTTTTCAGAGAGCCGCGTGGCTCCGTCGCAGAGCTGAGAGCCGTTTCCGAGTCCGTATCGCTCGACAGAGGGAAGTGAGCACTCGGAGCCGAAAACAATCGGCGACTGGTCTCGGCGCGAAGGTCGATCATTCGGCCGGCGCTCACAATGCCGCAGAGATGGAGAAATGGGACAATCAGTGGCAGTCCGGCCGCGGCCATTGACTCCGGCACCAGCCGGTGAGGGCAGGGCAGCGCGCAGGCGAAACTCATACTCGCTGGCGGCGAGGGAATTCGGTGGGTGATATGTTAGACGTCGTGATTTCTGACGCAGGTATTAGAGTGAGGTAAGATTTTAGCGTTACTTTTGCTTCAGGTTATTATTTTCGTTATGGGTCACCCACCCAACAACGTTAAACATTTCGATTAGTTAGAAAAAAACTGTTACATGATTATCATAAGAACGTCTTTGTTTGTGAATTTCGAATCAACCGACTTAATTTCAGACGCGTCTTAACAGGTGCCTACTGCCTTGACCGTTCAGGAAATAGGCAAATGGTTTTAGATGTACAGACTTCATCATGTTTTTCACAAAGGCATTTGGTTCGTTTGGAATAAGCATTATCAGTAGCATATTACTCTTCTATATTGACGTTCCATTTCACGCCAGATTAGAGGCAGCGGCGGAATAATTAAGCTCACTGCAGGCAATCTGCCGAACGGCGATAAATCGCCTGAGATTCTACTGCAACTTCTCCTACCAAGAAAGTGCAGCTGTATGCTTATGAAGTCCTTATGACCCCCCAACTGCTATGAACATTTTATCATATGGCAATTTGGCACCCATAACATTGACTCTGTAACATTGCATTCCGACACTGAATGTGTCATTATCTGCATGATCTGCAATGTCAAAGTCTAGCTGACGGCGTCGCTCTGTGCCCCGTTGGGAGACTGAGCTGGTGCCTCGGTGACCGAAGTGAACCCCACTCGTAGACTAGGCTGTCACACCGCCGGTTCGTGGGCAAATTGCCTGTCAAAATTCAATAGCCTGTGCGAGTTATTCGCCTCCTCATGTCTACAGCATGACATGGGGCGCCCGGCGCGCTCCACATACCACGAGCAAATTCAGTGGGGAGTAAAATTAACCGTAGTCATTTGGTCGAGCACAGATGCGCAATATTTATCCTTCCTTCAAACGGACCATGTTTGCCGATTTGTTAAGTTCAGGAACGGCTCCTGCTCCTTCTTCATTGGCAGGCAACATAACAACGGTTGTTAGCCGAAAAATGACGTGACCCATCAGTCAAAAAAGATTCCCAAATATTTCTTAATCAATAGCGTTGGACATTTCAAGCCTGATGTCGGTGTATCACTATATTCATCGGTTTCTGCTGCATCGATTTGCCGCATACTGAAGCAGTGATGAGTACGATCACTAGAAGTCGCTAGCAGTACTGCGCCGTGCAGCCATACTGTGCCGCAAGACTCACAAGCTTCAGTTCCAATCACTAGATGTCGTTGGTAGTACTGCGCCGTGCAGCCATACTGTGCCGCAAGACTCACAAGCTTCTTTCTGTTCCAATCACTAGATGTCGCTAGTAGTACTGCGCCGTGCAGCCATACTGTGCCGCATGACCCATAAGCTTTTGTTTCTATCGCTAGATGTCATTAGTAGTACTACGCCTGCCGCATGCTGTGCCGCAGGGCTTTAGCTTGCCGGCGCAGCGGCGTTATGGCCCATCGCTGAATGAAAACTTATGCAGTGGAATACAGATGAATGCAAGCTCTCATTTTCACAACATTTGATGAGATTTTATGTTGCGTGTATTCAGTTTATCGCAAACCTATCTAACTTATATGTTCCTAAATACAAAGATTCACTTGTCATCAGAGACCGGAAGAAATACGAAACAATTTGGCTTCACCGTTCCGTGCTTCTATCCTCAGGATACTGAAATCCTTCTCCTCCACACCGCAACCCCCTCCGGGCTGGACAGGCAACTTTATCTCATGCGGGCTGCTCCCTTGGAGCGGCACCGCTGCTCCTGAGGGAGCGCACCCCGTAGCCGGGTGCAGTGAGTGCCTTGGGGCTGGGTGGCCTGTCCTCTGGACGGGCTCAGCCCCGGCGACTCACTAGGGTGCCTGCCCAGACCAATGTCTCCCCCTTTATCCTATCATCCTTCCGGCTCTGAAATGGTCTAATTGGACCGAAAGGGCCTAACCCAACAAAACAAACAATTTGGCTTGCGTCGGGAAGCGGCCGATATCTCTTTTCCTATCACCCCATAGCGCAGGGACCCCGCTTTGAGCCCTGGTCGGCGAGGTCGTCTCAGAGGCACTGGAGGGGAACTAAGTGCGCCGTTCGTCGTCCGTTATGCCGCGATTTTAGCTGACTGCGGACAACCGGCGGGCTCGGCGCGCGATATGGCCGCCGCGATGTGAAGAGCGAGGAGGAGGACGCAGCCGAGAGGGAGTGGTCACACGATTTGGTTGGAAGAGAATGCGCCATGCCAAACTAACACGTGCTACAGTGATGTCGTGTTGCACATTCAATGGAGGTATGTAGAAAATAGATTACTGTATGTGGACGACAATCGTGTTATTTTCTATGTTGTACTCTTCAAACCCAAATGCAAAGTCAATTCATAACATTCGCCTTCCCACACTCTCTCCCTTTCACTTCCCCTCCCCTGCTCTTATCTTTCCCAACGATCCCTCCACTCCTCCCTTCACCCCCACTCCCCAGCGCCGTCACTCACCTCCAATTCCCATGACGACCGAGCCCAGGTAGGACAGGTGTCTGTAGGTGATTCCGTCAGCCCCGAGCACCGGCCGGGCCGTCTGCGAACCGTTCAACAGAGCGCTGAATGGACGGTAGGCCGGACCGGACACCGGCGGCTGCTGGCAGTAGCCTGTAGACCGAGAGAGAGAGAGAGAGAGAGAGAGAGAGAGAGAGAGAGAGAGAGAGGGAGAGAGGGAGAGAGAGAGGGAGGGAGAGAGATGCGTCAGACGTGTACCACTGACAGTCGAGGACTGGCAGAGCATGTCTGATTTGGAACGATGAGACGCGGGCGATGTCACGCTCCGACTGAGCCGTAAAGGGTGGGACTCGCGAGCCTGTCGGCGCAGTGCAGCAATTAAAGCGAAGAAACTGTCGGCGAGTTAAAACGGGAGAAATGAGGCTCTTAAACGGTATTCATGGTTTTGATGAAAAATGATGTTCAAAATTGTAGCATTTTTTTGTTTGAGCTACTTGCGATATATACGTTTAAAAAAGAAGTGCTATTCACAGACTCTGTGGCAGGGATGCTCGTAACTGAGCTACGATCAGCGCACCTACAAGTCGCGCTGGCAAGTCATCTCCATCCATCGACTGCCACTCGAGGAGTGTCGCCCCGCAGCCTCCGCCCTCATCAGCGTCCCGCCCACATCGTCCCATATTCATCGGCAGCCCGCCTCACGTGCCGGTCAATCACCCCTCCCCCTCCCCCTCCCCCCGGGCCGGGCCGGGAGGATAATCCGCCGCAGGACCGGCGGCACTCAACAGGCCGGGCACAGCCGGCCGGCCGGCCGTATTGACCCGACTTTGGGCGGCCGCGGAGGAGCAGCCGAGACGCCGCACACCGGCGGACAAAGGGGGCCCTGGGCGGCCGCCGCGGCCGACGGCCACCACCTGTGGCGTTCCCCAATTTGTCAGCGAGTCGCCCCGGCGGCTCGGCCAGCCCCGAGAGGACGGCGCGTCGGACCGGCACGGCGGGATGATTACCGTCAGAGGACGGCGGGTGGGTGGCTAGGTCGGAGGTGTTGGAGCACCCCACGCAGTCAGGGCGACACGTTGACGGAACGACGGGCCCCCGTGGGAGCCGCCAGCAGACCGGGGAGGCGCGGGCCGTGCGGGCGGTAAAAGCTGGCTTCCGGAGAGGGATATTCATCATTGTGGGCCTGCAGAGAGGAGCACGTCTCTCCGGCCGCGGAAATGCCAAGGGGAGGTGCTCCGTAATATATTCAGAGATCACTCTGAGAGGGTGGTCGGCCGATTCAGAGACAAAGAAAAACGGTCGTTGATTCAAAAATGAAAATATTTTCTTTTCATCAGCTTGCAGTCAATGCATGATTAAATGCAGCATTTTAAAAGAACAACCATATCATTTATTCGTATTAACACAGAACATGCTGGGCTTAAGTTATGGCACCTATTTATCTACATAAATAGGTATGTAGAATCGTGCTTCATAGGAAAAATATGAGACTATCAGGGTCACATTGGACAAATTAAATGAGACACTTCTTAAGCTAGAGCGTCATTGTCATTTAGGAGGACCCTGCTATGCGCATCAGCTCAAATGAGTAACTAATATTATTTTGAAATGGATCAGGTACGGGCCTGTAAGCTGAAGGGACAATCATAAGTTTCTGAGTTTCGAACAGCTCGTATGTTAATCTACACGTGACCTTATGGCAGGTCATCTATTATGACCAGCTGAACCTAATTTCCTTGAGGAATCCTGTGCCATAGCAGAAGTGCAAACATGGAGGCACGGAATGCCGCTATATTTGCCGGAGGCCTCTTGCACCAAATTACCTAGATGTCCGTGAAGTTGGCGACGTCGCCAGCGACTTTTCCAGCGACGAGCACCGATTTTAGCCAAAACCTCGTCCAAGGTCAATTGGACCATGAGGATCACGAAAATCGAACCCATTCACCCCTAAACCTTGACCTTCAAGGTCAAATTCAAGGTCAAAGGACGGGGAACTGAAAAAGTGCCACTAAATATTGTCCGATTTTCAAAATTTTGGCACCAAAATGTAGCGCGTGCAAAGTTCTAGCCGCACATCGAAAACCATTTTCATCAAGGTCAAACTTCAAGGTCAAATTCAAGGTCAAAGGACGGGGAACTGAAAAAGTGCCACTAAATATTGTCCGATTTTCACAATTTTGGCACCAAAATGTAGCACGTGCAAAGTTCTAGCCGCACATCGAAAACCATTTTCATCAAGGTCAAACTTCAAGGTCAAATTCAAGGTCAAAGGACGGGGAACTGAAAAAGTGCCACTAAATATTGTCCGATTTTCAAAATTTTGGCACAAAATGTAGCGCGTGCAAAGTTCTAGCCGCACATCGAAAACCATTTTCATCAAGGTCAAACTTCAAGGTCAAATTCAAGGTCAAAGGACGGGGAACTGAAAAAGTGCCACTAAATATTGTCCGACTTTCAAAATTTTGGCACCAAAATGTAGCGCGTGCAAAGTTCTAGCCGCACATCGAAAACCATTTTCATCAAGGTCAAACTTCAAGGTCAAATTCAAGGTCAAAGGACGGGGAACTGAAAAAGTGCCACTAAATATTGTCGGATTTTCACAATTTTGGCACCAAAATGTAGCGCGTGCAAAGTTCTAGCCGCACATCGAAAACCATTTTCATCAAGGTCAAACGTCAAGGTCAAATTCAAGGTCAAAGGACGGGGAACCTTAAAAATGCTACGTCACCAGCGACTTTTCCAGCGACGAGCACCGATTTTAGCCAAAACGTCGTCCAAGGTCAATTAGACCATGAGGATCACGAAAATTGAACCCATTTACCCCTAAACCTTGACCTTCAAGGTCAAATTCAAGGTCAAAGGACGGGGAACTGAAAAAGTGCCACTAAATATTGTCCGACTTTCAAAATTTTGGCACCAAAATGTAGCGCGTGCAAAGTTCTAGCCGCACATCGAAAACCATTTTCATCAAGGTCAAACTTCAAGGTCAAATTCAAGGTCAAAGGACGGGGAACTGTAAAAGTGCCACTAAATATTGTCTGATTTTCAAAATTTTGGCACCAAAATGTAGCGCGTGCAAAGTTCTAGCCGCACATCGAAAACCATTTTCATCAAGGTCAAACTTCAAGGTCAAATTCAAGGTCAAAGGACGGGGAACTGAAAAAGTGCCACTAAATATTGTCCGATTTTCAAAATTTTGGCACCAAAATGTAGCACGTGCAAAGTTCTAGCCGCACATTGAAAACCATTTTCATCAAGGTCAAACTTCAAGGTCAAATTCAAGGTCAAAGGACGGAGAACTGAAAAAGTGCCACTAAATATTGTCCGATTTTCAAAATTTTGGCACCAAAATGTAGCGCGTGCAAAGTTCTAGCCGCACATCGAAAACCATTTTCATCAAGGTCAAACTTCAAGGTCAAATTCAAGGTCAAAGGACGGGGAACCTTAAAAATGCTACGTCACCAGCGACTTTTCCAGGGAGGAGCACCGATTTTAGCCAAAACCTCGTCCAAGGTCAATTGGACCATGAGGATCACGAAAATCGAACCCATTCACCCCTAAACCTTGACCTTCAAGGTCAAATTCAAGGTCAAAAGACGGGGAACTGAAAAAGTGCCACTAAATATTGTCCGATTTTCAAAATTTTGGTACCAAAATGTAGCGCGTGCAAAGTCCTAGCCGCACATCGAAAACCATTTTCATCAAGGTCAAACTTCAAGGTCAAATTCAAGGTCAAAGAACGGGGAACTGAAAAGTGCCACTAAATATTGTCCGATTTTCAAAATTTTGGCACCAAAATGTAGCGCGTGCAAAGTTCTAGCCGCACATCGAAAACCATTTTCATCAAGGTCAAACTTCAAGGTCAAATTCAAGGTCAAAGGACGGGGAACTGAAAAAGTGCCACTAAATATTGTCCGATCTTCACAATTTTGGCACCAAAATGTAGCGCGTGCAAAGTTCTAGCCGCACATCGAAAACCATTTTCATCAAGGTCAAACTTCAAGGTCAAATTCAAGGTCAAAGGACGGGGAACTGAAAAAGTGCCACTAAATATTGTCCGATTTTCAAAATTTTGGCACCAAAAAGTAGCGCGTGCAAAGTTCTAGCCGCACATCGAAAACCATTTTCATCAAGGTCAAACTTGATGACCTTGATGAAAATGGTTTTCGTTGTGCGGCTAGAACTTTGCACGCGCTACATTTTGGTGCCAAAATTTTGAAAGTCGGACAATATTTAGTGGCACTTTTTCAGTTCCCCGTCCTTTGACCTTGAATTTGACCTTGAAGTTTGACCTTGATGAAAATGGTTTTCGATGTGCGGCTAGAACTTTGCACGCGCTACATTTTGGTGCCAAAATTGTGAAAATCGGACAATATTTAGTGGCACTTTTTCAGTTTCCCGTCCTTTGACCTTGAATTTGACCTTGAAGTTTGACCTTGATGAAAATGGTTTTCGATGTGCGGCTAGAACTTTGCACGCGCTACATTTTGGTGCCAAAATTGTGAAAATCGGACAATATTTGGTGGCACTTTTTCAGTTCCCCGTCCTTTGACCTTGAATTTGACCTTGAAGTTTGACCTTGATGAAAATGGTTTTCGATGTGCGACTAGAACTTTGCACGCGCTACATTTTGGTGCCAAAATTTTGAAAATCGGACAATATTTAGTGGCACTTTTTCACTTCCCCGTCCTTTGACCTTGAATTTGACCTTGAAGTTTGACCTTGATGAAAATGGTTTTCGATGTGCGGCTAGAACATTGCACGCGCTACATTTAAGTGCCAAAATTTTGAAAATCGGACAATATTTAGTGGCACTTTTTCAGTTCCCCGTCCTTTGACCTTGAATTTGACCTTGAAGTTTGACCTTGATGAAAATGGTTTTCGATGTGCGGCTAGAACTTTGCACGCGCTACATTTTGGTGCCAAAATTTTGAAAATCGGACAGTATTTAGTGGCACTTTTTCAGTTCCCCGTCCTTTGACCTTGAATTTGAACTTGAAGGTCAAGGTTTAGGGGTGAATGGGTTCGATTTTCGTGATCCTCATGGTCTAATTGACCTTGGACGAGGTTTTGGCTAAAATCGGTGCTCGTCGCTGGAAAAGTCGCTGGTGACGTAGCATTTTTAAGGTTCCCCGTCCTTTGACCTTGAATTT